CGCAATCGCGACAGAGAAATTCGGCAGCGCGAGTTAGCGTCGTGACCGGCGGAGGTCACGACCGCCACGTAAGCGTTCGGCGGTGTGTCCGCGTCGACGGTATAACCGGCGGATGTTCGGCGTGTTTGCTAACGTAGGAATGAATCCGTGAGCTTGTCCCTCGAACGCGCGGGAGGGACGCGAGCCCTTACCGTCGTCCAGGAGGACGGCCGGGTCTCCGCTCGTCGACGCCTCGCCCGCTCCGTGCCACGAAAATCACTAAAATTTATAGTCTTCGTTCCTTTCGGAGCGGACTCACCAAATCTTGAGCGGAGCGGGGGCAGTCGGTAGCTGGCCTCGGCGGTCCCTCTGGACTCACACGAATGTGACCCTGGATCTCGCAGCGGTCTTACGGTCGAAGGTCGAGTCGTCGGTGCCTCGTCTTCTAGTCCTCGGCTCTACGGATGGCGCGTCCTTCACACTCTAGATACCGTATATTTGGCGAGATGGGCGACAAAAGCTCTCGAACGGTCGTTGTCGTCCCGTTTTATTTGAGGTGTTTGAACTCGCTTCCGACAGCTCTTGGGTGCTCATTGGCGGGATCTTTCCCCCGTTTTTCGATCTCAGATTCTGCACAGCTGTTGTCAGTACGTCAGGCTTTGGAGCTTTCTTGTTCGTCTGACCTTGGCTTTAGCTCCTTTGCGGCAGCCGTTGTTTGCGTCGATCCACGAGCTTCGCGGCGTCCTCGCTCGGATCGGAGGACGCTCCGGGTCGCGGAGAATGTGCTCGCCGATTTCCTCCGGCGGCAGCTATCCTCCGCTCGTCCGCGGTGTCGATCCACTCCGTGCTCGCGGCTTCCTAGCGACAGCCTGTGATCGCTCCCCTTCGGCAGCTTCGCCTCGCCGTTCAGGATGTTGCTGAAACAGTTCTGTGTTAGGTTTTCCACCCTGTGGGTCCCTACTGAGTCGTATTATTAACGGAAGCGGTTCACCTGCAGTAGCAGGTTTTGCGGCCGTTCCTCTCGCAGGCTTTTTCTCTCCCACGGCGGTAGCAGTCCTCCTTGCTGGTAGCTTCTTCTTCCTGACTCAACCTCGATGACCGTATTTATACACAAAAAATATGATTCGAGGGCTGCGTAGGCTCGCGTCCTAAACGCCTTACGGCTAGGACGCGACATTCGCCTGCAGCCGGGAAGCTCATAATGCTTCCTTACTATCGACTACGAGTGACGGACAATATTTACTAATCGTCACGTCACAGTATCTGAAATATTAAAGAAGAAATAAAATGTAATGTATTAAACAATCTTTAGTTAAAAACTAATAAAAGGCATTTTTTAGCAAAACACAGATGACATAGTGAATTATTTAATTCTTTTTTAACACTTTCAAACAACAAAGAATGTATATAATGTCAATATAATGTATTTTTTAATCTTATTACCACATATCGAAAACATGTTGAGCTGTAAAGCTGTCAGGTCAATCGCTTTGAAAAGTTGTTATTTTTGTAAATAATCAACATGATGCGTCCAGATACAGGATAATACGAATACGTCTAGTTGTGGTTTGAATTTTATGCAGGAAGATATTCATGGAACCGTGTATATGTATATTGTAAAGTTTATTTTAGAAAAGAAATTGCTTTTTATTACGTATCAATATATATTTGAAGTAATCATTCATTCACTTACTTGCTGTTGCAAAAATACGGACTGTTTTTACTATTTTCCATTTTTCGGTATCTATTTCTCTGCATTCAGAAACTGCTTTGTTTATTAGTTTGTAATTTTCATATGGTGGCCAAAAGCATTCAGATTTTCCGAGTAACCGTATACAGGGTACTAAATGTAGTTCGTCTTCAAATTCAACTATAGAGAATCGGGCCATTTCACTGCATATCCATTTCATGATGCTATAAAAAATAATGCGAAGTACACACATATATCGAGAACAAAATAATATAATACATATAAAATACATAATATATAAAAAGTACAAAATACATACACACACGCATACGCATACATATGTAATAAGGAATATATTTATAAATTGTATTATATATTTTATTGCTCTTCTTTGTTAAGTATGCACAACTGGAAAAACAATGAAATCATTGCGATAATATGGCATTTTCCACATTTTACTTCGAATTTTATCACATGGCACAAGGCATACAGAAATTTCTTCGCGCATAATTTGCACACCCAATTGTTCTGATGCACAAGGATAAACCGGATTTGAATACAAATTTCCGACTACTTTCAACTTTTTACCAATAATAAAATTTCTATTGTCGTTACATTGAACAAAATTCAAAACTGATATTACAATTCCGTTTTCAAATAAAACACAATTATTATTTGAACTATTTGCATGAATTGTATATGTTTTACTGCGTAATATTTTATATTGAGAAGAAAAATTATATCCATTAATTAAAGGTCCATTTGAGTGAAGTTTTTGAAAACATGCTTCATGATTTTATGATATTTTCCCGTTTCTTAATAGGCAAATTACATTATTGATTCCGGCATATCTTCTCGATAATTGTTGAAGAGGTTTCTCATTCTTTCGAAGCATTTTCTTTATATTTGGCATATAATTTTCAAATCTGAAAGCACTAAATTCGTCAAGAGGTTCGTACTTTTGTACATCAGAACAAATATGTAGTAAATTATTAAAATTATAAGACATAAATTGAACCCCGTAAATTTGTTTAAAACATTTTAAGAAATACTCCAATAACATTTGGGCCCATATAATATTATTATTATTATTTGAAAGAATAGGATTAGCAAGAATTGTTGTTACGGCAATGTGCAGAGTTATAAAATTTATATACATATCTTCCTTTAATATGCTTTTTAATACAACAGGACCAGTATACAAAATAAACTGGCGTAATTCCGTTGCCTTCCACATTTTTATGTCTTTTATTGATCGTGGATGTCGAGCAAAATCATTCGGTACCCTACTTTGCAAATTTAATAAAGCCCCTGAAATCTGGTTTAGCAACTGCTGAGATAATTTTACAGTACGAGGGCCTTGAACCCAAAGTAATATTAATTCTTTTACAAATCCTAAACATATTAAATGCATATAATCGAGTACTACGTTAAAAACTAATCCAAAAGTAGGAATTTGCTTTAAAATTGTTTCTCCAATTTGGTAATTGTCATATTTATTGTCAGAAAAATTTTGATCGGTTCATAAATTATCAACTATTTTCATTGCTGGAAAACATAATTGCCCATCAATGTGTTCACCTTTAATAGTGCATCGTGTACAACAATTATAACCAGTATAATTTTGTATGTTTAAAACAAAAGCTTTTGCCGGGGCATCACAAATCAAGCCATGTAAATTAATCTTTACTTTAAGTCCATTGTAAAATAAGCCATTACTTATTAATAAAATCGCTTCATTAACAAAATGTCGCAAAAAATCATTGTTATTATATGGTTTGGTTTAACCGTAATATGCTCCAATAATAAAAACCGATTTTAGAACAGTGCCCAAACATAAAATAGGCCATAAACTAGAATTGCTTGATTTGGAAATTGGTAAACTATCTATATTTATAAAAATGTCAAGATTATCAGTTATTTCACCTTTAATTTTCACATATTCATTTAACATACATTTCATCATACATTTTAAAGCATTTTCAAAGCCAAAATGACAATATTGTCCGGGCTCTATTTCAACGATTACTGTATGCCTTGGCGTTTTTAATAAAGTTCGAGGATCTTTCGGAAATGAATAATTTGTGTATTTTCGCAATATAACCAAAAGTGCTAACACTGCAACATGAAAAATATTGAACATAATAGCCCAAGAAGTTATAGCTTGAATAAATGAATTATCATCATGACTTTCAATTTCACCAAGTTCAACATTTTCTATATTATAATTTATTGTTTCTTCAGTTACTTCGTTCATACTTGCATACTCAGTATCATTATCAGTATCACTTTCTATCTGTTCTTCGTTTGATTTCAAATCTATTGTATCGTTATTAATTAAATTATCACATACAAGTTCTTCACTATTGTTGATAAATTCATTTTCTACTGGCTCTAAGTTTTCAATAGTGTAACAATATGATAATTCATTGTGTCTCTATTTAAAAATTGTATTGATGTTTGATACATTAGAAATATTTAATAAATCAGAAGTTGTTTTATTACCAACAATTCTACAAATGTCTTTTAGAAAAAGAGGAGTAATTTTTACGCTTTTTATCCATTATA